CATTTGAGATGAAGGGTAGGATAAACGGGACTTCTATCGCTAGAGTTGTCGTTTGGAGGCCTACGATTTCCTCTACACCTATCCTGAGCTACAGTTTCGAAGCCATTAGAAATGGCTATTTGCCGTGCCAAGTTCCGGGACTCCTCTCTCTGCTTTCTTCCCGTGCACACGTTGGTTGCTGTTCGAAACATGTTTCTTATAAGCGCCCTTTTCGTGTGAGAGGGGTGAGAGGAGAGGTAATGAACTAAGATGTTTTTACTACTTGGCTTTCGGTACCACTTCGTAATGTAGCCATTTTCTGATAGGTGAATTTACCTGCTGCTTGAGAAAGGCGGGCTTAGAGAATTCGGCAAACGTAGTTGAAATACCACCGAGTAATCTTAAGCTCCAGTTAGTTCGTAACCGCCTATATGACCGTCTATGTGCAACTCAAAATTGCATAATTTGCCCCAGTGGAAGAGACGGTGATTGCATGAGCTCGGGTATAGTTTATCTGATCTCCTGTAATACGTGCGGTGACGAATACATTGGCGAAACGGGTAGACCCCTCTGTGTCCGCATAAAAGAACACCTAGCCGGCAAACATAGACCAAATACACCGCTAGGCACGCACAGGACCCAGAGACATAACGGGGACGACTTCGAAGTATGTGTCACGATCCTCGCACACGAATCAAGAACACAGGCGGGAAAAACTCTCGGGGCACTCTGGATTAATTCCAGAAATCCGAAAATGAACCACAGGAAAGAATGCCTCATTATCACGCGTGATATAGGGCAGTATATAAACCTGCTATTCTGATAGGAGGGGCACATTATGCTTCCATGTGATTTCTGTGCGGTTGGTCTCTACGTGACATACTTAGTGGAAACCTCATAGGAAGCGGTGAGTGTGCAAAGCTGTGTTCAATGTGATTGAAATCTTGGTTTAGAGTTTCTTTGTTTGGTTATGGAGGCGTCTGGCCTGGTGGATTGCTATCAACTTGACCTTTCCAGGCTCTGAGGAAGGCGAAACCCGCCGAAACGCCAGCTTATTCGTGAATAAGGAATAATAACACCTCGCGTTTGCTCAGCAAAAACACGAAGAATTACTTTACAATTCTTTTTATTTTTACAGGACCCGTCTACTGTGCTGATCACAGCACTTCCTGCATTTGATCTGCCTTCCTTACATTCATCGTCCATAAATGTCCTCGAACATTTCGCGTGATTCTTCGGCTATTATGGTCGTAGAATTGATTATCTTTGTCATTCTGGAGATAGTACGACTGAGGAGCACCTTTCCTTAGATTGAGGGAGAGCACTGGAGATGAGGTCGAACTAGTGCCTTTGCTTCCGGCTCGACTACATCGCTAACCGCTGCGTTGGGAATGATCTGTGGAGCATAAATCGGCACTGAACCCAGTTAACCTCAGCCTGTATTCGAAACCACAATGTACATTTTTTGCTCACCATCTACTATTTTTTTTAGAGTAGGCTATTAGAAATACAATCACAATGAAGCGAAGATATTAGCAAAACTGGGATTATAGACCAGATTCGAACCTGCAATTAGTCTAAAGAGCCGGATGACAGAAAGGTAAAACAGGGCCCTCAGTGGTGCAGCAGGTAACAGGTGATCCGCTCGAAAGGGTAATCGCTGGTTCGAATTTGGTTTACGGTCTAAGTTTAGAAATATCTTATATGTTGTGGTTGTATCTCACTTAACACCATACCATGAAAAAAAAAATGATAGGCAATAAATAAAAGTTGTTTATTTGATTAGGACAGTACTTCGTGAATGGCTTAAAGAAGCAGAAGCATTGCTCTCAATATCATTTAATTCTTTCACTGTAATAGAGTTCCACGTTTCGCTAGACCCTTACTTAGATATGTTTTAACGTTTTGTTTTCTGCCTTCTATAATTTTCATGGCAGGTTACTAAGCGAAATACAACCACAATGTTGCTGAGATATTTGCAAAACTCTGGACCGCAGGTGTCTATGGTGGGGAACGAACGCGCTATTATCCTTTCCGGGGAGTAACGCGTTCACCACCACACCATGCGGGTCCTTTGTTTCGCACGTCTCTCAGCTATTTCTATCGATCTTTTTGCCACAGCAATCACCCGTCAGCGGGGTTGATCTGGGGAGCGCAAATCGGCATAGAACCCAGTTAAGCTATGGCTGTAGTTGAAATCACAATGTTTTAACGTTTTGTTTTCTGCCTTCTATAATTTTCATGGCAGGTTACTAAGCGAAATACAACCACAATGTTGCTGAGATATTTGCAAAACTCTGGACCGCAGGTGTCTATGGTGGGGAACGAACGCGCTATTATCCTTTCCGGGGAGTAACGCGTTCACCACCACACCATGCGGGTCCTTTGTTTCGCACGTCTCTCAGCTATTTCTATCGATCTTTTTGCCACAGCAATCACCCGTCAGCGGGGTTGATCTGGGGAGCGCAAATCGGCATAGAACCCAGTTAAGCTATGGCTGTAGTTGAAATCACAATGTTTTAACGTTTTGTTTTCTGCCTTCTATAATTTTCATGGCAGGTTACTAAGCGAAATACAACCACAATGTTGCTGAGATATTTGCAAAACTCTGGACCGCAGGTGTCTATGGTGGGGAACGAACGCGCTATTATCCTTTCCGGGGAGTAACGCGTTCACCACCACACCATGCGGGTCCTTTGTTTCGCACGTCTCTCAGCTATCTCTCAGCCTTACTTAGATACTTTTTCGTGGGCAACGATCCTGTTGTAGAGTTGTCTTCCGGAGATGTATCCATCGTTTTGCCCAGCCGTCTCGTCTTCCATTTTCACGATGACCTCACTGATCTTCTCCAGCCTGCATTGAAACCTTTTCGCTTTTTTTTTTTACTGAGTTTGTAATTAATGCTCATAAAAAACTTTCCAACGCGGTCTAATACTTACAATATGCTTTGCGACAGATTGGATTTCTACTATTTCATTAAATATCGAAACAGCCGTCGGAATAGCAGACAGAAAAAAAATTATTCACTTGTTTAACATTTGCAGGAGGTTATGCGACGCAGTGAAAACAGATGGAAGTGAAAAATATCGATAGCTTAGTAGAATCCTCCTAACAGTTTACCGCCTCACCGTGGCCAGGAGGTGTTCCTGGGTGTCGGGCTACTGTACACGGTTGATTCGTCCTCCAAGCAGGGTTTCCTAAGTTGAGGAGTCCGGCGTTTCCACCAGAAATCCTAGGTAAGAGTAAACCAATACTAGTATATACCGCCGTCCTGTTACCCAAACTAGTTGCATAGTGGCAAATCTCCCTCTGATCCACAAGGACGGCGACATCCTGTGGTGGTGAAGGCCTGGGGCAGACTTTGTCCAGACTGACCACAGGACTCCAAGGAACCACAGTGACCAAATCAGGAAATCTCCAAAAAAATGGGAATTATGCCAGAGCACGCACAACCAGTGAGGGCGGGCCGTCCAAGTATCCAAGTATAAAAGCGTAGAAAAATATAAATGTAGGTTGCCGACTTGAATGCTCGTATGTTCTAACTCAACAGATCGGGAAGAATCATGGGACTACCATCATAATTTCTATTTGACTAGTAATTTGCTAATTGAGCGAGATTGCTAAAGCAACATTAAAAGAAATCCTTATGATCTTACTTTTGTTCGATTTTTTGTAGTGCATCTTCTTGAGTCTTCCTCAGTTCGACTCTCATCGGCGGAATCACTTTTGGAACTGGAGTGAAACAGCCGACGTACTCACTGGAGGTGCTTCGAAATGAACGCTCCGGTTTTAGTAAACGAATCACCATCACACATGAGTTACCATTATAATCGCGTGCTTGAAGCGAGTCCTGCAACAAAAACGGAGAAACCGTGACAGACCTCCACGCTGAATACCCCGACGCACCTGGATAGTCTTCGCTGCTACTTGTGGATTCAACGAACTGACAAGAATCGTTGCAATTTGCGCATCACTTAGGAATTCCCATACAGCCCAACTGGCGATGATCACGTAATCCATTTCTTTAGTAATCCATATCGATTTTTCAATCGGTTTAGGAGTAAGAACTGGATGAAAACTGTAGAAACCAAGTTGTCTACTGTTCAAAGTGGCACCGTTGACGAGATTATTCTAGAAAACAGGAAAGTTTATTTTAAAGGACAAGCTAATCAAAATAAAGTAAATTTTAGCTTCTTTTTGGACTTTTCAATGATTACAGCACAATTCAAACAAACTTGAAAATCCCAGGCCTAACTTTATATTAACCTCGGCATTGATTGAATAATTCTTTCTACTTCTGTAAAACACGCGATGTTCTTTTATGCAGACACAGAGTGGTCTACCCGTTTCGTCAATGTATTCGTCTCCGCACGCCTTGCAGAAGATCAGATAAACTATACCCGAGCTCATGCAGTCACCGACTCTACCATTAGGACAAATTATGCAATTTTGCGTTGCACATAGACGGTCGTATAGGCGGTTACGAACTAGTCGGCGTCTTAGATTACTCGGTGGCATTTCAATTATCGTTACCGAATTCTCTAGACCGGCCCTTCTTAAACATCGTTTTATAGCTACACTTACTTCATTTGAAATGAAGGGTAGAATAAATGGGACCTTATTGCCGATAGAGTTATCGTTGAGGGGCCTATGGTGTCCTCTACACCTATCCCGAGCTACAGTTTCGTAACCGTTAAAAATGGCTATTTACCGCACCAAGTTCCGGGACTTCTCTCTCTGGTGTCTTCCCGTGCACACGCTGGTAGCTGTTCGAAACATGTCTCTCACAAGCTACCTTTCCGTGTGAGAGGGGTGAGACGAGAGGTAATGAACACAATCCATTCGTTGAATTTTTGAGGTGATTGAATGCAAGTTGAGCCTAGACAATTATTTACATAGGCTAAAACCAGTGTTTTATACGCATAGACAAGTTTGGTAGCAGTCTTCTAGCCCCGCCGACCCCGTAGGGATCTGGACTGGTTAGTCCAGGTCACGGTGTCGAACCAAAACAATGTATGTGCTGCAGAATACCTCTGAGCACTGAGGTCCATGTGAACTCTGCGCAGTAGGTCTCCACGTGACATATTTAGTGCAAGACTCATAGAAAGCGGTGATTGTGCAAAGACTCTGTGTTCACTGTGATTGAATTTTTGGTTTAGTATTTTCTCTCTTTGGCTATGGAGGTGTTTGGCCGTGTAGATTGCAGTAAACTTGACCTTTCCAGGCTCTGAGGAAGGCGAAATCCGCCGAAACGTCAGCTTGTACGTAAATAAAGAAATAAAATAGCACCTCATGTTTGCTGAACAGAAGTCGAAAGAATTATTCGAACTTAAAATTGCTTTTATTAATAATTTTGGATTTTCTGAGTCAAGAAATTTACTTATTTTGTGACCAAAATGTTTATTCATGTGGCGCAGCTTAATCATAATAAGAGATCGTTAAAGGATGAAGCTCTTGGCTCTGATCAATCCGTGGGGAACCATGCATTCGACTTCATTAAGCATCGTTTGAATGAGGTGGCTGAATGCATATCTGGCCTTTATAATGACTCGCAGTGGCCCACCGATGTATCGAATCGGCGCTGCTATCCTCCCAGACGAGTCTAGTACCAATTTTCCGACCCCGGAGGGATGGAAGGCTTGGTGGGTGATGAGTGCCGGAAACGATTTCACGTCTGTTTTGCAGGACGCCTCTGACCACCGTGCCACACGCGACCAAGTAATCGTTACTACAAATAATTATAAAAATACCATTATGTTATGGAAAAAAGGTAAAAATTATAACGGTAAACTGTTAATCGTTCAAATTAAACCAATAAACGCTACTGCCGAAACGTCAGCTAGCGTTGTATTGTATTGTGTTTTTTATGGAAGTAAATGTATGCCGTTTAACGTTTTTGTTTTCTGCCTTCTATAACTTTCATGGCAGGTTACTAAGCGAAATACAACCACAACGTTGCTGAGATATTTGCAAAACTCTGGACCGCAGGTGTCTATGGTGGGGAACGAACGCGCTATTGTCCTTTCCGGGGAGTAACGCGTTCACCACCACACCATGCGGGTCCTTCGTTTCGCATGTCTCTCAGCTATTTCTATCGATCTTTTGTGATTGCTGTGGCAAAAAAGATCGATAAATGTATGCTGTTTAAAAACCTCGCGATTGCTGAACAATAAAACGACACATTAATAAACGCTTTCTTCAAATCAACTCATTACAGAGAAACAAATAATAGGCACTGATCGAGTGAACTTTAGATGAAATCTCAGCACTTTTCAGTGTACGGTAAGCGAAAGGGTTAACTTTCTAGACACCTGTCGTGCACATAACGTTCTATGAAAGTGTTGATTATCCTCTTTAGGTAAAAATTAGATTCTGAAAAAAAGACAGATCACTTTGGATTACGGAAAGCAGTGAATGAGGTTTTTAGAGTTGGTGCAGTTCATTTCTTGTCACGTTATGGTCACCTGCTTCAATGCTCACTGACGTCCGCCTTTGCATGCCTATGTTCTTTTTTGATACAAGAATTCCCCATAGCATAACCTACCTCATCAACAGTGCCGCCAGCACACCGAATCCGTTCGTACTCCTCCTCATCCAGTTCTACCGATCCGGTCAGTTTCTCCAGATGTCCACCAGTCAATACAGCCGCACCGATATTTCCTACATATGAAACAGAAAGCTGTGCCCCAAGATGAATGAGTAAGCAACCTGAACTCAGAGATTGACATATGAATAAGAAAAATCTAAGAGTACTCTAAAGTATTACTTACTGGCTCCTAATCGTTCTCCAGACTCCTCTAATGTCTCATGCGCTTCGAGAAGTATTTCCGAAAGATTGATTTCGTGGTTCTAAACACTTTCGTAATTTCTTTTACACAACAACTGAGTAGTATTCATATTGCAAGGCACGTATAGCGAGCGAGCAGTTAGAGTTGCTCAGGAACACACAGAAGATCTGTTAGTGGCTGGACATGGCGCCCAATGCTTACCCAACCTCTCGCCTTGCCGGGGTCAGTGATATGGTACCGACCTTACCTTCGAGATAAAAACCTTTATTTAATGAACTGACAGGCCATCGAAAGTACAGGCCAAAAACGCATTCAATCCGTTTTATACTGAGTTCTATCCTCTTATTTCGTTACCTATATTGCTTTAATACGAGCAGAATTTGTTACGAAAAAGAAGCTCACAGCCTCTCGTACACCTCTCTACTCAACTTATCGACTCTAAAAGTCCGGGTTCAGTGAAACAAAGTAGATTCTTCAACAGTTCACTTTCTCACCGACTTAATCAGAAATTGACCCGCGTAAACCATTGTAAAGGCTAGGTCCACAGTGAGCCTCAACAAATTTGTTAATGGAACATGAGAGAATATGATGATAAATTAGTGAAGCATCGAAATCAAAGCACTGAACAAACGACAACGTTCTAAAAAACATGAAAACAAAGATGAATTCATAAATTCAATTAAATAGAAAAGTGAATACTTTGCCATAAATTTTTCACGAAAGCAGCCAAAGATTTGAACGATTAAAATAAATTTAAACAGCCACCCATTGCTCATTTCTACTGCGATCAATGTCTCCAAATAAATACCTTACGAAAGGGAATTTTTTCGAACTATGTTAGATTTCTCAATAACTCGAAAGACCGACTTTCTATAAACCTCGGCATAGATAGTTGGTACATTTATTTATGTGATCTTATAAGCTGATCTTCTTAAGCTGACGCAAGGTTGGTACAGGTCTTCGTTGTCGATGTCGGTGTTTTTGGTGTTGTTGATCGATGGCTGACGTTTCGGCGACCTCGCCTTCCTCAAAGCCTGGACGTACTTTATGTTAGAATACTTTTTACTATT